TCTCTCCTTGCTTCTCACGACGTCACATTTTGTCTTCTGACCATGGCCTGCCTTGTTTCCTCTATCCATTTTACAGTTATTCCTACCTTGCCATTGCGGCTATGGACAGATATGGTGCTGAGTTCTAGGACGCTGGGCGTGGTTCTTTGCCAGTGAAGCTTAGAGTCTAGCCAAAGATGTGAAGAACGAAGCATTCTCACCACCAATGTGGAAAAGGAACTGTGATATGTGTTCCAAGCCAACAGGACCGTGAAAATGACTTCTCAGGGGGTGACCCTTGAGCCGAGTTCTAAAGGGGCTCACAAATAAAAGTCAGATAAAAGGGGAGGGAAAGATATATGAAACAGAAATAACAGAGTAAACACAGGCTGTAGAGAAAGGAAGAAGTGCGGTGTGTGAGGTGGAAAAAAAGCTGCTAGCCCATGCTAACCACTGAGGCATTTAGAAAAGTCAGGGCCCAGCCAAGGGCTGGGCTCACATTCAGGCCTTTACCTTCTGGGCAGTGGAAGCCACTGAGTTATTACAGAGTTATTAATGTGGTGGCCTTCTCATGAATGCCGTCACAAGGTGACTCTTTCAGGTTTAATAAGGGACAGAGTGCCACACAGAGACAGGTCAACTGGAGCGTGTGCATCAGGCCTGAGAGATGCGTGGTCACCGTCCCAAAACTTGAGTGAGAAGCACTGGTCACAGGCTTGTGACACACTCCTGGAAAAGGAAATTGTGCTCCATGCCAGAGACTGCTCACAGCTGGACCAATGACGGGGCTAACTCAGAAGCCTGCTCACGGCGAGTGTTCATTCAGCAAAGACAAATACTTGGGATGAAGTTCTAAAGCTGAATTTCAGCATGGAGCTTGGAGAAAGTGATTACTTTGGTCTCTAGAAAATTCTGCAATGTGAAGATAGTTCTGCATCTGATTGTATGAGTCTCAGTGCAAGACCAACGGCCTGGAAACCATAGGCATGAGACCCTAGCACCACCTGAGCCTCTGAGGATCTCCATGGACTGCTGCTATCCTGCCCAGCTTCTCCTCCACCACGCTTCCAAAAGAGTATAAATCACCACACTGTGATAAGCAAGACATAGACCCTCTCTGACCAGAAGTTTCTTCGTGTTTAATAGAAATGAGCTAGTCTTGGTTTTATCTAAGGCCCCTTCTAGAGCTCAGACTCTGAGCAGTAGAATGATTCATTCAGCAAGCATTTGCCAAGCTTCACACTGGGCCAGATTCCATGGCAAACATTAGGAGCAAGATGATGAATAGCATCCATTCCTGGAGATGTTTACCTAAAGGTGGGAACAGACACAAAGCCAATAGTCTAGAAGTAACATGCTGTTCGAGTGTGAACTCGAACCATAAGACCTGGGCACAGTTTGTCACCCGATACTTCCTTGACCAAGTGGTAGAGCAGAATTGTGGTGTCCCTGTAAATCAAAAGCAGATCATGAGATGGAGTTTAGAGAATTAAATGAGATGATATTAACATTTCTCTATGCCTATGTCCAATTTATAAATGCTATATGTATAAATCTCAGCTCAAGGCGAATCTCTGGAGAAGGATGCCCAAATCCATTCCCCAAGCTCCCAACACACCATCCCTTGCAACATGCATCGCAGTTGGTTTCCTGCATGTATTGTAGATGATCAGCGCTCAACCAGTGTTAATGGTGATCATCAATAAAGCGTGGTGAAGGCAGTGATGATGCTGGTGACGACTAGTTCTGACAGTGCTGTTCAGCTCCCACACGCCTGTACCAGGTATCAATGGTTTGTATCTATTCTGATCACCAGTGCCCTGTAGGCTCTAAGATACTTTGAATTTTCAATCGTCATGAGTTTCCTAAGAAGTTGAACCAGCAGAATACATTGAGATATTTATAAATGGAGATTCATTACAGCATCTGGTCCACCTGACTACAGCGGGGGAGAAGTCTCACCACATGGCATCGTCAAGCTGAAGAAGCAGGGATTCATTGGCATGATCTCACTCAGTCCAGGTCCAAAGTCTGTAGACCCATAGACATTTAAGTGGTGTTTGCAGTATGAATACTAGGTCCTGGAACCAGGATTTGTGATTTCCAAGGACAGATAAAGATGGATGTTCCAGCCCGAGAAGAATGAATTCACCCTTCTTCTGTCTCTTTATATACAATGGGTTCTTAACAGATACAAAACCATGTTTGAAAGGCTACATATATTCTACTCAGTTTATTAATGTAAATGCTGATCTGTTCCAGAAACATCTTTACAAACATACCCAGAAACATTAGCAGCTATTGGACACCCTTTAGCCCTGTGGAACTGGCACATGAAATCAATCATTGCAAGCTAATTTATAATCACAATAAATTCGGGTTAAGAACACTATAGAAACAGAGACGGGCAACATCACCAGTGGCCTAGGAAAGACAGGGTGATGGATGACTGCGACATAAAGAAGAATAGGTAAGACCCCTCTTATCTCTATCATGACCTTCTAGGTGTCCAGAGATCTTTCAAAACTGCATCTGGGTCAGTTTATTTATTTGCATCTTAATGCCAGTAACTTCCTGCTTCAAAGACCCTCACCAAGGTCTGCAAAGTCCTGTGTGAGTTGGTCCCACCCTGGGCCCCCTTTTGCCCACCCCTAACCATCTGCATTGCTTGTTACTGCCTCAGACCCCTTGTATCCTCTCTGCTCTATGTGACGGACAGACCTCCTTCTGCTCTCTCTGGGCCTTGTTCTTCTTCATCACCAGATCTCAGTTCAAATATCTTCTCTGCAGAGAGCCTTCCACTAGCTACACTAACAGATGCTGCCCATGCTTCTATACGTGCACTCTTCTTTCCACTGCTAGCTTTGACTTTGTAACTTAAAATTGTAAGCAGAGGACTGGCAGAGGACTGCACAGACAAATAAACAGTCCTCCAGCCCCTGCCTGTGGTTGCCTTTCTGGCGGCAAACTAGCTGCAGTGTAACCATCTGTCTCCACCGGCAAAATATATAAGAAGTTAAAAAGCAAATGAGGAATGTCAAAAGCATGATACTGTGTGCCCCTCTATGACATGTTCCATGGACTCGGGTGTTCAGATCAGTGGGACCCTCTGAGTGGGCACTGCTGGGTTACCGGTGCCCATTGACACTCCACTGATTTGTAACACCAGTGCATCTCTATCCAGAAAGCTTTTAACAAACACAGGACCTGCTTCCTTCCCAAAATAGTCAGAACTGGACAGGGACAAGCAGGCACTGGAGAGTTTCAAAACGCCAGGTGACCTGGATGCCCAGCAACACTTGCATACCACAAGAATAAATGTGCTGGTTGTTTTCAAAACGCAAGGGCAAGTTTTCTTCTAGTTCATTGTCTTTCTTGGAAAACTACACCACACCACACATACACCTTTCATGCAAGGTGGGATTCTGGCAGGAATGACAGTCGTCTTGTACTTTCAGAGTCCCAAGTCACTTTCCAGGCACTACCTGGTTAGGTTTTCAAACCAGCCAGCGAAGAGCACTAACACCGTTAGAGAGAGAGATCTGTGATACCTGCGCTATGACAGTAGTGCAAGAAGGTGACCAGTGGAAAGCCATGAAAGGCGGTGGGATGGCTCCGCGTGTTACAGAGTATTCACGCAGGGAGGAGACTATTGCCGCCAAGAGAACTATGGGTAGACTTATAGATATTGACTTGAATGAACAGGCAGTCAGATTTAAATCAACTATAGAATGGCACTTGTAAATTTTTCCATGTTATTGTTTCTGTTGGTGTTGCTGTTATTGTTTCTAAGATATGTCTCGTGTATTCCAAGCCGGCTTTTATCTCACTAAGTAGCCGAAGATAATTTTGAACCCCAACCCTCTCGCCTCTACTTCCTTAGTGTTAGACTTACAAAGCTCAGTTTATGTGGTGCTAAAACTGGAACCCAGCAGAGGCAGAGCACTGCCAACTGAGCTGTGGCCACGCCCCTCTATTGTTCCTTTAAACTTTTTTTTTTTTTTTTTGCATGTGTGTAGCTGTCTGCTTTATAAGCAGAGAAACCTGTCTGGGAGGGGTCTAAATGAGCTGTTCATTTTCCCATCATGTGAACCAGGGTTAGCTAGAGATGAGAGAAATGGTATTCACAGTTACCCTTTTCATATTGCTATAAAATATTGTTTAAAATCATAGCTATAAGATACATCTTAAAAGGGACCATCACACTCACATTTTATAGTAAGTGATTAGGTCTCGGTGAAAGGGTATAAAACTTGATCACAAGTCTGCAATGTGTTAATTTGGGTATATATGCATGCCATGTTCAACAATGGGAATTTAGAAGAATAAGGTAATAGAGGGACCCACTCCACTGCAACCCAAATCTAGGGCTCCTCTTGCCGCCCTCAGCCCCAGGGCTTGCTGCATAGAACTTGCTAGCCAGTCACTGGTTCTGTTAGAGAAAGGGAAACAAAATTTTGTATAACCAAGTGAACCGTACAGGTTGGCCCACCATGAGACAGAGCAATCCACTCGCTCTTCCAAAGAGTCAAGCATCCTGAACACCTCCAATCTCCCCCAGTGGGGCTGGGTCAGGGTCTACCAGTTCCCTGCTCACTCCAAGACTACTGCGAAGATTTATGCACTGCCTGGGCAGCTGCTGAGGCTGCTGGGAGAGGATTCCACACCGGAGGACTGTTGCACTTCCTAATAAGGAAATCCACTTAGCGCACACTTTAGGGAAAAATGTCCTGGGAGGGAGGAAGAACCAGATGGACACTAGTCTTATTTAAAAGAACTCTTATTACCAGAACATGTTTGCAAATTTGTGTAGGTCATATGTCCATATGTGTGCATGTACGTGCATTGTACACACATAGGTTCTATTTACACTCCCCCTCTGAAATGTCTTCAATTAAAAGCATGTGCTTCCTATTGTTCTTTGGTAGGTTTGCAGTTCACCTTGCATTGGAGGATATGCTGTGCCTCACCTCTTTTGATGTTGAATTGCTGTTCTTACTCTCGATTTTCCTTCCTGCCAGGTACAACTCATCCACTATAACCACGAGCTATACACAAATGTCACAGAAGCTGCGAAGAGTCCAAACGGATTGGTGGTAGTTTCTATATTTATAAAAGTAAGTCTTGCATTCTTTTATTCTTCTTGCCATTCCCCACACCAACCAGAATATCTGTCTACAGTCTCAGTTGGGAATAAAAATATTTACAGAAGTAATGTCAATTAATATCTGTACCTAAGAAAGCTTCGGGATCTTATGATTTTTATTAACATGAATGCACCAAAGATTCAAGGCTATGCAAGTAAGATGAAGAAATGATAGGTTCCATTTCAGAGCTTCAGGGCCTGAAGGTTTGCACAGCCTCTGCCCTAGAGAGAAAGCTGGTGCTAGGGACAGGCTTCAGGCCATACCTACTAGTGTGGACCAAGAGTGCAGTAACAAAAGGAGAGGGGCTGGAGTGCTGATGGCCTCTGGGACCGAAAGACTGCCCAATATCTGCTGCTACCAAGGGAATAAGAGAAGTGTTAGATGTCCCTCTCCAGCAGACCCTGCACTATAATAAACCTCCAGGCTTCCCCACAACAGCTACGAAGTTCACCTTCCTTTCCCACTTGAATGCTGATTTATAATCCTGGCAAGCAGAATTGAGACAAAGTCCCCATGTTGACTGTATAACCTTCAGATATCCAATAGGCAAGAACAGTGTGAAATGTCCAACTGAACAACTTCTGATTTGTTTTTGATTTTTCATAATGTTTTGGCAGATAAAAAGGGATGTAGATATACGATTTTTAATAAAAAAGTAAGATTTACTTTCCAACTGTAAAAAAGTTTTTAATTTTTTTTTTGTTAAGTAAACTATGTTAGTTACAAAGTACCACACTGTGCTCACTGCTAGAGAGGTTTGTGCCCAAATCACTAGAGAACATTGGACCAACCAGCACTTGGACTGCCGTGAAGAGTTTCAGTAGAAATTTAGCATTCACCACCAAGGAGTTGTAACAGAGCTCTTGGAGTAATGGGGTCCCCAGAGACCCCTTAGGCAATAGTTCCCCCCCCGAAGCAGATTCTGTGCAACAGGTACAGTTTGAACCCTGAGGAATTTCCCCTTCTTTCCTTGAGCAAACCTGAACCTTTCTGGCTCAGTCTCAAAATAAACCATAGCATTCCCTCTTTCTTCCCCAAAATTAATGCCCAGATTTCCCGCTCCACAGTGACCTAGCTATACTCTGGCTTGTCATTCACTCAAAACTCCAACTGAGCATGGGACAGAGGTCCATCCCCTGCTAGACACTGGTACTCAGAAATGAGATGGATTGAATCCTTTGTCTCTAAGGATGTACAGCCTCTGACAGTCATCAAGCCTTTTTTGATGCCCCTGCCTCCCACTTCCAGCTCCCTGTAGGTAAGACAAGAACACAAGATGAGAAGTTCCCACATGAGTGGTTCAACTGAAGAAATGTCACCCTGACCAAATCCTGCGCCAGAGATGGCTAAGGGCTTGGTGGTAAAAGAGAGGGCTCAGCAGTTAAGGATACCCGTTGAGAAGCCTGATTACCTGAGTTCAATTCCTGAGATCTGGGTGGAAGGAGAGAACTGACTCCCACGAATTGGCCTCTGAGCTCTCCACTCTCACTGAGACACAAGTGTGTGCTCACACACAATCAATCAATCATCAATCAGTCACTAAATCAATAAGAGAGGCTTGTTTCCCCTTCCATCCCATGAGCACAGGGAGCTAAGATTTGGCTATAGTTGCTGTTCGATCACACACCATTACCCTCCCACTTAGAGCGCACTTACATCAAGTACATATTTCATCTGCTCACCCACACCACTGCCAACGCACTTGTGCCCACAAATCATCTGTGTGCACTTTGGAAATACTTCAATAATTTTTAATCACCTCGGGGGGTGGGGGGGAGGCTGCTCTCAACAACAGTATTGTCCAATTTGTCAGGTACCAGGAACCCAAGGCACCCGGCAACTGAGACCCATTGCAGTTTCCCATTCCACCAGACACCCTCATGGCCCTGTGTCCCAGAGCATATCAGCACAAACAGGAGAGGGCTCTGAGCTGGCTTTTCAATGCTAAAGAGTATGTCACGAGCAGAATTTGGCACTAACGCTTCCAGGGAGCGGGAGTGTTCAGCTTGGGACGTTTCCCCCACTGGAGGTGGGATTTTGCCTCCATAGAGCGTCGTCACCAACCAAGCCGCAGTTAGTTGTGTGTCTCACTACAACACACCCAGGGAACCGTGCGAGAAGAAAGCCAGATGGAGACAAAATAAACAGGCTGTGCTTTCTCCAAACTCAAGTTACCTGTTGCTTATCTAATAACAACGATCATCTGCTGTGATTTTTCCCAAACCTCGGAATAAATCAGGTTTAAAATGTTGATGTGTCACAACACCCGATTAGCAGCTGAGATGTACATTGCAGAGCTGCGCCGAGCAAGGTGGGAGAGAAATGACAACGATGAACAGCGGCGCTGGGAAAAGACTGAGTCAGAAGGGGGTTGTGAAGGGAACTCCACAGCCGCACGAGGCTGCCTCACAATCAAGGGCGTTTCTCTGACCCCAGCCTGCTTGTTGCTTAGCTGCTTCCCCCAGAGGAAGAATCTGGATGTGTAAGAGCCTAAGTACAAAGTGGAAACTCATCTCTAGTGCAGCGTTGTTTAGCCCATTACACTTGGTAAATATGTCTGGGGTAGATGGGTGGGTGAGAGGATGGAAGATTGAATGTTGTGATTTATAATATACTTATATGATAATAAGCAGTAGAACTACAAGGTTCTCTTTTTCCTCCCTCTTCTGGGGCCCTTATTCTAGAGCTTCTTTGTACTTAGACAAATCCCCCTTTCATGACATTGCATTCCATATTCCCTGCTCAAAACCCTTTGATGGTTCCCCATTTCTGAGGAAGAATGTTGAACTATATCCTATGGTGACATTCAAAGCCTGACATGGGCTAGCCTCCCATCCTGTCCTTCCCAATGACTTTAGCTCCAACTACACTACATATTTGTATGAACGTTTCATGAACAGGTTGTCAGCATAGATGCTTTTCCTTCTCTTCTTGCCTTTCATTCTTTCCTATATTGTAACATCAAAATACTTCAGCTTCCATCCATCCTTCCAAACCCTAGCTCCCCTGTCCAGATAGCGAGTAGTCCCTCCCTAATGGCTATCAGAGCTCTCCCTAATCCACACAAGGATGGTTTGTTTATCTACCTCTCTTCCTTCTTGAGATGAGGTGTCCATATAGAGTAGAGTGTGTGTCTCTGATCTCTGAATTCCCAACCTTCATAGATTTGGACCCATGGTAAGCCATCAATATGAAGGAATGAAATAATGCATGGATATGTTTGCCCTGGGAGAGTAGCTGACACCCAGTTGTTAATACTTTCTCTTCCCTTATAGGTTTCTGATTCATCAAACCCATTTCTTAATCGAATGCTCAACAGAGATACTATCACAAGAATAACGTATAAAAGTAAGTTTGGCTCAATTTCCTTTCCAGCAACTGTTCTACAAAGGGCAGTCCTGTCAGAAGGCAGGAAGCCGGAACTGATGATCTCTGTGGGCTCCTTTCTGCCTCACAATCCTTTAACTCTGTAGAAAGTCACTCCGGAGAATCAGGGTTGGCTAAGAAGCAGCCCATTTCAAGCACAAGTCCCCGGAGTGCCTTTGTCATCCACGCCTGTCTAAGGCAATAACGATTATGATGATGTGGTCATCGTTATCCTGCGGGTTGGTAATGAGCTCGGGGATTCTACCGGCTGACTGACTCCACCACGTCAGCTGTCTGTGTAGCTGGGGCTTTGCCAACTATGTGAAAGAAAAAAAAAAAAAAAAAAAAAACACCTACCAGGTACTTTGGACCCAATATCGACCTTTTCAGAACCACACCTGAACCAAATCTGATCTCCTTCCAGAAGGAGGCTGGGCAGCATCTTCCTTCGTCCCCCATACCTCATGGATCTATAGGGTTCTGCCAGTCTCCCAGCCTTTCCAATTGCTTCATCCTAAACTTCTTCATCAGAAAGGAAGGAAGCGTGCTGAGGTGAAGGAGGAAGGACAGAGAGGGTAAACCTAGAATTCGCAGGACTTGGGGGAACTGTGTGAGGCAGCACATATAAAGAGATGAAAGAGCAAGATGGAGAAACCGCAGGGGCATCTAGTTAAGAAGAGGCGGGAAGCTGGAATTCAAGCCTTGGCTTTGACCTCTGTTGAGGAGGCTTCTTCATTAACGAAGTGAAAAAGTTCAGCCGCTGGCTTTGGAAATCTTAAAGGTCTAGATTTGTGAATCAAACAACAGCTAGATAATAATTTCCAACAATAGAAAAAAGAATATTGTGGACATTGAATCCGCACATCTCCTAGCAGAGTGCTTCTTCCCTGAGCCCATAGCTCAGTTGCACCTGCTGCTTCTGCTCCACTGTGATGTGGAAGAGAAGGTGGGAGGGCAGTAAAGCGATCACTGCCCTCTCTCACTGGCTGCTTTCTTCATCCCATACCTTCAATAGGAATGCAAAGATGGCTGAGATGCTGGTCCTCCCGACAAGGGGCTCACCATCAGGTCACACCCAGTGGAGAGGCTGAGCAACTGATGGGGTGACATGCTGGTGACCCTGAGATCACTCCACCTCAATACACATCCCCTACAAGACTGACTTAAATCCTCTCCACACACAGCCATGCCCTTCCTCATCAGTATTCTTGAGTTCTCTCTAAGCACACGCTTAGACTGCTCAGCTAAGGGAGATATTTCTGTCTTGTGTGTAAATAGCACATTTATAACTGCCTATAAAGGATTATTATTCTTTTAACTTTTTTGATTAAAAAAGCATAAAAATTAAATAAAATGCTTTTTAATAATCTTGAATTTGCAGTTTAGAGACCGTGAAAAGCCATGAAATTGCACATTAAGCCCCGAAACACAATCTGTCTGATTTCCACTGGCATAGGGGATCATTAGGGGGTCCCTTGCTCCCCTCCCCCTATACCAGTCTGATTAATATTAAGTGAAGTGGTCACTCACACAGAAAGAAAAGCAGAGGAAGGGAAGAGAGAGGAAGAGAAAGAAAAGATAAAAGAAGGAAAGGAGGGAGGAAGACAGGCAAGCTGGAAGGAGGGAGCCAAAGCATTCGGGCAGGAGTGGCAGCATTATAAAGTTTGGAGAACATTGAAGGGACTCGGAAGAGTTCAGAGAGGGGATCTGATCCCAACAACACATCATCTCAGTTACTGGAGGAATGAAAGGTCTCCCTCAGTCACAGTAACAGGCAGCAGTGGGGCAGGCAAGAGGCAGGAAAAGTGTTCTAGGGCCAAGTTTCTGTGTCATAGGGAGCTTATGGTGTTTCCATCCCTGAAGCAGAAACACAGAAAGAGAAAATAGATACATTCTCTCCTCATCCATCCCTCATGCACAACACCTCCCAAGGCCACAGAAAATAAAAGGGGGGTTAAGCTGGACACTCTGGCCTGCATGCTGAGACATGATAATGGGTCCTATCATAGCAAATGTTCTAAGGAAGGTGTCCCCCATGGTGACCTTTGTCACATACCTGAAAGGAGTTTCACCCCCGGGATAATGATGGCTTGATACACAGAACTGGCCCAGGACACTGGCAGAAAGGGATTGATTTGCTCAGCAGGAAACCACAGCTCTCTTCTCCCCAGTTTAATTTCCTACAGCTTCCTACAGCAGGGGAAGGTTGGCCCTGTGGCAGGTAGGAAGTCTTAAAGGATCAACTTCAAGCATACAACCTAGGCATCTCCCTACCCCCAAGCCTCTGTAAGAGGTAGCAGGTTTACTGGTATGAGCCCATAAACTCAGGTCAAGATGGGGATTATGCTACCTGCTTGGGGCGCCTATTATACTACCCTGTTCCCATACTCTTATAGGAGACAGGGAGAAGGAACACACACACACACACACACACACACACACACACACACCATCTCAGGGCTACTCCTGCTGTGACCAAACACCATGAGCAGAGCAACTTGGGGAGGAAAAGGTTTATTTGGCTTACACTTCCTTTTCACCATTCATCATCAAAAGAAGACAGGGCAGGAACTCAAACTGGTGGGAACCTGGAGGCAGGAGCTGATGCAGAGACCATGGAGGAGTGCTGCTTACTGGCTTGCTCACAATGGCTTCCTTAGCCTGCTTTCTTATAGAACCCAGGACTAACAGCCCAAGGATGGCACCACCCACAGTGAGCTGGGACCTCCCCTATTAAGCACTAACTAAGAAAATGGCCTACATTTAGATCTTATAGAAGCATTTTCTTAACTGAGGTTCCCTTTGCTCAGATCAAATTGATATACAACTCTCCAGCAACTCCTCATTCTCTTCTGTTTCAAGCACACTACCCAGGAACACCCAAATACATCTCTCAGCCACCCATTCCACGGCAGAGCTCCCATCTGCCCTGCTCGCTTGGATGGAGTATCCACTCTGTACTGTAGTGAGCATCAAGCATTTAGAGGTGATGTGGAATAGGTACTCTGCACACCCCAGGTCCAGTGCTGGGCATGTAGCACTTTAACTGTGTGGTGCTCACACAAGCTTTCTACATGGGTATGTTTGCTATCCCCAGCTCACACATCAGACCAATGATGCACAGTAGTAGTACCTAGTAGGTGCCTAGGTAGTCAGCGACTTCTGTATAATGAACAAGAGCTTAGCAGTGAGTGTTGACTGTTCACTCCTACGTGGGCAGGTTAGTCAAGATGTCTCTGCCTGCAGGCACAGGTCCCCAGGTCAGTTAATGAAGACAGATCCACATGGCTCTCATCTTTCCAGCATCAGAGGAACACCCAACAAGTATCTTTGCCCTCAGCCCATGAATTCATGTAATACTATTCAAGACTTGGTCTTTAAACATGCTCACACTACTGCTTGTTTCCCAATCCCCGGCACCTGTCTGATGTGAGATTTCCCTCTATATGCTATGAATATGTTTTATTGCCATTGGTTAATAAAGAAGCTGCGTTCAGCCCATGGCTTAAGAGAATATAGCCAGGCTGGAAGAGATATACATAGAGAGAGTAAGCAGAGTCAGGAAGAAGCCGTGTAGCCGCCACAGGAGACAGACACTGGATGCTGAATGGAAACTTTCCAGTAGGCCACAACTACGTGGCAATACATAGATTAATAGAAATTGGTTAATTTAAGATATAAGAGCTAGCTAGAAATATGCATAAGCTAATAGGCCAAGCAGTGTTTTAATTAATACAGTTTCTGGGTGGTTATTTCGGGTCTGGATGGCTGGGAAACGAACAAGCAACCTACACCAATACCCGTCATATGACCAAGATGGTCAATGTCACAATCCTTCCACAGAGATGAGGATGGAGGAAATAGGAACTTCCTGAACTACAACCCATTCTATACACATGGGTCCCCCTGGACATGGTTCCTATATCATTTCCTTTCTCTCATACTTCCTTCCTATGGAGCAAAGAAAGACAAACTCTGAAGTCTTAACTAGTTATAATTCTGGTGTTTTGACATAATACAAAACCCTTCAGCATGCTTTTCTTTTCATTGCAGCTTGGGCTTGGGTTGACAAGCAATCACATTGCTTATCACATTGCTTCTTACACTTGCTTCCACTTAGAAGGGGCATCAACTAACCACAGAACTAGCACAGTAACATATGGCCAGCTCAGGCTGACCCTGGCCCAAGCTATCTCCAACTCCTACATGCATGTGACTTTACATAGGGACCTCCTGTGGAAATCAGTAGCCTTCAGAGGACACTGCCACACTGTCAGGATTGGTATACCTAGTAACCAGACATGACACCACAGGCTGGAAGTCTAATACAACCCTTCAAGCAGAGTGACATCATCTTCTGTCAGAAGGAGTACTCTAGGCTAGGTAGATGGTTCAGGCGGAAGGAGTACTTGCTGAGCAAGCATGAGGACCTGAGTTTGAACCCTCAGCATCTATAAATATAGCCAGGCATGTCTACATTTGCAATCATAACCCCATCACCATGAGGGACAGAGACAGAAGAACCACTGAAGTTTGCTGGCTGCCAGCCTCGCTCCAAGTTCAGTGGCAGACCCAGTCTCAAGGGAATAAGACAGAGTGTAATAGAGCAAGACACTCAGTGTCCTTTTATGGCCTTCTCATGCATGCTCATAGACTATCTCACACCTGCATACACAACACACACACACACACTACATATACATATACCATACATATAGATAAAATGTGGACTGTGATTATTTGATTTAAAAATAAATAGGCTAGAGAAAGGCTGGAGAGATGGCTCAGTGGCTAAGAGCAATTGGTCCTCTTGCAGAAGACCCTGGTACAATTCCCAGAGCCCACGTGGTGACTCAAAGTCATCCATAACTCCAGCTCCAGGGAATTCAAAGCCCTCTTTTGACTTCTTTTTGAAACCACCAGGTGTGCATGTTGATTTCCATACATACATGTAGGTAAAACTTTCATACATATAAAATAAA